GAAATTTTTAAAGCGTCACTCGTGGAGATTTTTAAGTACTGTAGTATGACGCCATTCCATGAGCGTTCGCAATTTTAAAGCATGACAGGTTGGGTATCTATTTACTCAGCGTAAAATCATCTTTCATATTTTACAAAATAATTGGGATATATATTGGGGGGGGGGTTATCATTAAAGTGTATTTTTTCCAAAACAAATGCATTTGAAAAATATAAACAAATTTTAAAAACTGTCCATTTCGGTTTTCGGCCAAGTGCATCCTGAATTTTTGGTTTCGGCACCAGAATTTTCATTTCAGTGCACCACTACTTTTTGTCTTTAATAAATCCACCCCCTTTATGTTCTCAGTGTAACTCTGAGAAACATGGATTAAAGTTGACCCATACTTCTTAGTATTTCCCCCTCTTAGAAAGGTTTTCCATCTAAAGATAACTTTTGACACAGAGAATGCACCAGAATTTCAGCATTGTCCATTTTGATGCCACATTCTCCAGTTTCAAATGAGGTTCCCAAACTTTTTAATAATATTTCTATAACATAGAGGCTTGGCCTCGCTCCCTGCTTTCTCCTCATTGGCCCACGGGCTGTGATTGACAATGGCTCCCACTGCTGTGTCTCAGCCAATGAAGAGAGAGAGACCCGGGACAGTTGAGGCTCCTGTATATATCGATGAATGGAGAGGGGCTTAGATTTTTTTTTTTAAACAAATAGAGCTTTCTTTTGGTGGTATTTGATCGCCACTGGGTTTTTTATTTTTCATTATATAAATGAAAATAAAAACAATATTTTTTGCTTTCTGCTATAAAATATATCCAATAAAAAAATTTAATTTCTTCATAAATTTAGGTCAAAATGTACCCTGCACTGGGGCCCCCGGGCAATAGGGGATAATGGGGCCCCTGTGTCCTTGCCCAAACTCAAAAAAGCCTATGAAAAAGGTACCAGGGGTATCTCATGGGGCCCCTTGCACTGACCATTTGGAAACTCGGGCACTGCCCGAGAGCCTGGGTCAGCAGGGGGCCCCATGAGATGCCCCTGGTACCTTTTTCTTAGGCTTTTTTGAGTTTGGGCAAGGACACAGGGGCCCCATTATCCCCTATTGCCCGGGGGCCCCATGAGTTGTCAGTCTGCCCCTGCCCCTGCAACATGTCTTTGGTAAAAAAAAAAATCCCAGTTAGTCTATATTGATTAGTTTGGATGAAACTTCTAGCATCTACAAACAATGGTACAGTATATACTGTATACTGGAATTTTTATTTATGTATTTAATTTTATTTTGGTAATGGTAGTGATCAGCAGCGGGCAATCTGACACTGTGTGGGAACTGACTAACTGACACTGACATCTCCAGTAACACTAATACACTGATCAGTGATAACACTGTACACTGTCACTGTAGTAATGACACTGGCTGGGAAGGGGTTAACATCTAGGGGCAATCAAAGCATTAACTGTGTGCCTAACAATGTGAGATTTGTATAATGTGTGCTGCTTTTACTACTAGATGTGTTTGTTTTTTAATCCTGCTTTGCAGGGACAAAAAACAGACACATGGCTGCTCCCATGCACAGAACCATGTGTTCTTAGAAAGCCAATCAGCAGATCACAATAAATCATTGGCTGGAACCTGCTGACTTGTGCTGTAGTGAACGACAGCACAGATCAGGTGGTGGGCATGCGTACCCCCTATCTGAGAATGTTGGTTGTATGTGATCCAGTGCAGCGGGGTCACTCTGCTGCAGTAAAACTGTGGTAGGCAATCCGCAACTGGTTAATAATATCCAATCCAGTTTGTTTAGTACAATGCTGTGTATTTGCTGCACATAAAATATATATAGTTCACATTTATCATTGATAGGCAGCTGTTGTCATAAAATTGTCAGTTTTACTCTAAGGGATAGTGAAAATGCACGTCTTCAAAATCTGCCTTAGGCCATATGAATACTTTCCATAAAGAAGCTAGGCATTCTTGTTGGGCATAAGTATTTCTGTAGGTCCCATATGAGTGCTCTTGCGCTTAGTCCTTGTTAGTACAATGTGTAATTTTGTCCACAACAGAAATAATTGCTCTCTTTGGTGAGAGTAGGGGTCAGTGCTTATTCTATTTCATTGTTTGCTGCCTGAAGCTCAAGCAAAGAATGAAAGGACAGTTGCAAAACTGTCAAGGAGCAATGATCATCTACAATAAATAAATCTAAACACGGGGGAACAGTAAGGTCAAGAGTCTCAGATAAGTGTATGTAAACCCCAACAAAAAACTATTTACATCCCTGTGGCCTGTTATATAACATTGAACATACACTATATTGCCAAAGGTATTGGGCTAGCCTTCCAAATCATTGAATTCAGATGTTCCAATCAAAGTTTGTAGAAGCAGTCTGCATGCCTAGGGGCTTGATTTTATACATCTGTGGCCATGGAGGCCACAGATGTATAAAATCAAGCCCCTAGGCATGCAGACTGTTTCTACAAACTTTTTTGAAAGAATGGGTCGCTCTCAGTAGTTCAGTGAATTCAAGCTTGGTGCCGTAATAGGTTGCCACCTGTGCAATAAGTCCATCTGTGACATTTCCTGGCTACTAAATATTCCACGGTCAACTGTTAGCGGTATGTAACAGAGTGGAAGCAACTGGGAACAACAGCAAAACAGCCACCAAGTGGTAGGCCACATAAAATGACAGAGCGGGGTCAGCGCATGCTGAAGCGCACAGTGCGCAGAAGTCACCAACTGTCTGCAGAGTCAATAGCTAAAGACCTCCAAACTTGGTGTGGCCTTCAGATTAGCACAACTACAGTGTGTAGAGAGCTTCATGGAATGGGTTTCCATGGCCGAGCAGCTGCATCCAAACCTTACATCACCAAGTGCAATGCTAAGCGTCCATGGACAGGCAGTGTGTTAGTCGGGGATCAGCCTGTCCATGGTTGCACGGCAGAGGAATCCCGGGATTTTGGAAAGAATTGGATCTGTTTTCAAAACGTTCCCTTAATGGGAACTCTGGATAATCCTGGTTCATCACCCCTAAATCCAAGGATCCATCCACTTTAAGAGGAGGTTTACTAGATTCCTACCTTATCCTATGATGACCATTAGATGACATCAGGATGTATTACAAAAACCGCGCACTATTTTGCGTGTTCTGGTGAGTGCGCATTTCTTATACACCTATATGCACATTCACCGCTTTCTTGAAGTCACAGGAACATTGAGCACTTCAGTCACCTTATGAACTTTTTTATAACTCTTGATATTTTAACCGTATGATCTTTATTCTGATCAATATTCTATGCTGTACGCCAATTTTTATATATTGATTATATCTATTTAGCGCTGCACACCATCATTTTTATTGCTCATTTTAAGGGTTTTTTTATTACATTGTGCACAGCTGCTTCTACTCATTTTGTGCTCTCACTTATATCTACCTTATACGGTGCTTAGTAATAAAAGCAGCTAGTACACTAAAAAGGAAACCGTAAGCCTTCTAAATAACAAATAGGAAGAAATGTGCAGCGCTAAAATGAATATATAAATAAATATAAATACCAAGAACGCATAAAGTGCTAAATCTCTCAATGATACTGCTGGTATTAATAAATATATCAAAACTGATTAAAAATGTCCAAAGTGCTCATAAATCTGAAAGTATAATATTAAAATAAATAATATATAAATAATAAATGTCCAAATAAAAATTCAAGTAAATAGCACTTAATCCAGATAAGTGAATCTCTCTTATCCCAGTGGTGAACAGATAATCCGGTGATGTGCGGGGTATAGTAAAAATGCACACTCACCAGATGCGCATTTTTAAGTGCGCAGTATGTAATAATCAGCCAAAGGTCCCCTCTACAGTGGAATAGAATATACAGCCTGGGATGGAAACCCTCCTCTGTAGTTTTTGGTGGTGAGATGTCAGCCAGAGGTCCCCTTAATGGTAAGCTGCAATATGGCCTGATGTGGATCTCCCTCCTCTGGGTACTGGGATGGTCACCTGGGTTCCTGGGGAATTAAATGCTCGGTACAGAGCAAAAAAAGGATGGTGCCACAGTGTAGTCATTTCAAATTATTAATAAAGGGTTTATTGAGTAATAGTTAAAAATCCAGACAATTTCCAATTTCTTTGGTGTGAAAAGCTGCCTAATACAATGACCAGCTGGTGTGTTAAGATGGCAGTCGGATCTCTGTGATCCGGCAGCATGATGTCCGGCATGCAGGCTCCTCCATAACACTTTTTGTACCAAGTACATTGTCAAAAGGGGTGTGCCCTTTTCACGCCGTCAGATCATGGACATGATACAAGAGATTGTGGCCATGGGAGTCTCCAGGAGCCATGGATGGATAGTGCAGGGGTCTGGTCTCTGGGACTCTGTGTGGCCATGCTCACAGTGGTGTGGTGGGAGTCTCCAGCAGCCGTGGATGGATGGTGCAATGCAGGGTTCCAGTCTCCAGGACTCCATGGACTCCATGTCTGTGCTGCATGCTGGTGTTCATTCCAACATAGCACCAGGCAGCACCATGACATCACTGACTCACTGTATATATGCTCGCCCAGCTGAAAATGGCCGAGCATGTCCAAGCCCAGTTGGCTTTGGAACTGTGTATACGCAGTTCCAAGGACGTCCCAAGGCCATATTTTTTCCAGATGTTTTCCAACCCTGGTGTCACCTGGATGTGGTCCGCATCCCCAAGGCCACTAGGGGGACTGGAGGGAGTTGCACCCAGAAGGTAAAATACCTTGAGCCTTTAGAACCACTTTAATTTTGTCAAAGTGGTTGTTTGCATTGTCCAAAGCTCAGGCTTTCAATTGATAAATAGCATTTACGTTTTTAACATTTTTGGGGTGCCTGAGGATTTTGCATACTTTTTAAGCTTGAGAAACACTAGTTTTAGAACACATTGATGCAACATCCTGGTTGAAGAGAATATTTTCCTTTAAAAGGAAAAGGTAATGTTTTAGAAAATTACATCTCACAGCTCACGGGTCTCTTTTTTTTTGCAGCTTTTTCTGTTTCATACAGTTACGATCACAGAGCCACGAAATTTCACCCAGTGTACGACGTGGGGCAGCTTCCAGGAGCACTGGCAGGAGACCTTGTACAACATGGTGAGCTTCGTGTGCTTGTTCCTGCTTCCTCTGCTCATCATGATCTCCTGCTACTCACGGATCCTACTGGAGATATCCAAGCGCATGAGCAAGGGAACGCGTAAGTTCTGTCTATATACCTACAGCAGTATAAGGCTTTGCAAAAAATATTTGGAGACTACATAAATTCTGTGAAGTTGTCTTTCTAATGGAATAGAGACTGATTATTTAGCAAAGTAAACGTACAGATTGGAAGGTAAACACTCACTTTGCAGAGAAAACAGTCTTTATTCCTTCAACCTCGCCATGAAAGCTACACATACACATACAAATATTCTGCCCCTGAAAACTCTGAATTAATTAATTGCATAGTTACATTGGCCCATTAGTATGTAGAGCTCATACCTGAGGGACCTCAAGGGAAGCTGGCAATCACTGTAGTAGCCAGCCCTACTTCAGTGACACCACCAAATCTACTTCAAAATGGTGGCCGTCTGCACACAGATACCAACGACCTGTTGAATAAATGTGAATGAAATTAGTAAAAATGGCTTCAGCTCCTGTTCTTCACCTGTAGAGAACTTCACAGATGCGTTTCGCATCTGCAACTCAGCCCCTAAAAGGGGCGAAGCGCATCTGAGGAGTTCTCTACAGGTGAAGAACAGGAGCTGAAGCCATTTTTACTAATTTCATTCTCATTTATCCAAAAGGGAGTAGGAGTCTGTGTGCAGTTGGCCACCATGGCCTGACAAGCTGATCCTATCTGTCTTGGACCAGTCTATTCACATGCTGATCTGACCTACAAAAGGCATTCAGGCGATACTATTTTCATTGTTTTGATCACCAAATCTCACTTCAAATTTCCCAAGATTAGAAGTCAGGTACAGCAGTGCCTTAGATCGTATGCTGCAGATAGACAGTTATGAGGCCTTAGATACAGGGGTGTTTGGACACCCACACATACCAGGAAATGCACTGATATTTTCAGATGAAATTCAGGACAAAAAGGTAGATCTTCAGAGGGCAACTTAGGCACAATTAAAATTACAAATGCTTTGTCTAATAGCAATGCTTCATTTTTGGAGTACAGGTCTACTTAAAAAAAAAAGGTTCTTACTGTTTCTTCAAAAAAATACTGGGACTGCCCAATTAAAAGATTAGATGTAGCTATCCTATAGAGCAGTGGTCTCCAAACTTTTGCTCCATATTCCGCCCACTGATATCAACAATTGGGTATAATTCCTCCCACTGACACCAACAGTAGGGTACAATTCCTCCCACTGACACCAACAATGGAGCACTATTCCTCCCACTCATACCAATGATGGTCACAATCCCTTTCACTGACACCAATGATGGGGCACTATTCCTCCCACTGATACCAATTATAGGGCACTCTTCTTCCCGCTGATACGAATGATGGGGCACTATATCTCTACCTGATACCAATGATGGGGCACTATTCCTCCCACTGATACCAATGATGGGGCCCCTATACCTCCCTCCCACTGATACCAATGATGGGGCACTACTATTCCTCCCACTGATACAATGATGGGGCACTATTCCTCCCCCCTAATACCAATGATGGGGCACTATTCCTCCCCCTAATACCAATGATGGGGCACTATTCCTCCCCTTGATTCCAATTATGGGGCACTATTCCTCCCCCTGATACCAATGATGGGGCACTCTTCTCCCCCACTGATACCAATGATGGGGCACTATACCTCCCACTGATACCAATTATGGGGCACTCTTCTTCCCACTGATACCAATGATGGGGCACTATACCTCCCACTAATACCAATGATGGGGCACTATTCCTCCCCGAAAACTAATGATGGGGCACTCTTTCTTCCCCCTAATACCAAAGATGGGGCATTGTTTACTCCCACTGATGATAGGGCATTTTCTACTCTCACTGGCCACCCCCTTCTTCCCAAAGTCTGAAGGACAGTAAACCAGTCCTTTGTTTAGAAAGTTTGGAGACTCACTGGGGAGATTGTATAGGAACCTGTTCATTATTTTTTGCTTTCTTACCTCAAAAACATAGTAGGCAACATTGTAGGTGCCATTGTGGTAAAAAACAGAGTAAAATTTATAAAAAATAAAAGTAAATGCATGTTGTCTTTTCATTCTCCAAATTAATACTTATGAAAAATAATGATTCTTCTTTTTTGTATTGGTATCAGGAATGTGTAAAATTGGGGTAAACGGTTCAGTTTTTTATTGTAAGACTCTTTCCTTCATTCTAGTTTCCTCTAAGGAAGTTTACTTGCGACGCTCCAAAAACAACATTCCAAAGGCACGAATGAGGACTCTAAAGATGAGTGTTGTCATAGTCAGCTCCTTCATCATATGCTGGACACCTTACTTTCTCCTGGGTTTGTGGTACTGGTTCTACCCAGAGACAATGGAAGAGAAGGTGTCACAGTCCACCACACACATCCTTTTCATCTTTGGTCTGGTTAATGCATGCCTGGACCCTATTACTTATGGACTTTTCACCATACACTTTCGGAAAAGTCTTCAGCGATATTGCGGAGGTGGAAGGACATCAGACCCTGACACAAGCTCCTCAGTCACAGGGTCCTTTCGCTGTTCAATGTCTTCATTTCGTGCCAAAAAGATGATTGTCTTGAACCAGGAGCTACAAGTGCTACAGTCTTGCAATGGTAATTTAAACAACCCAGACTTCAGGTTGAATGGCCTTGGCACTAGTTGCCTCTAAGCTCTACAGAAGTCAGTTACAGATGTGTATGATATGAGGACGCCCTATGAAACATTAATTATAACATGCCCTACAGTGATCTCCCAACATAGCGTTTCCTATAAACCTTCTGCTCTCAAAGTTGATGCAAGCTACTTGCAGGAATCGAATCAATGTTAATAAAACAGCACAGCAAAACACATTTCATGTTGTTTCAAAGATATTGCCAAACGGATTATGTACTTGAAAATATTATTTTTAACTCCAGATGGAGTCATCAGTTTTCCATGAAAATCTGTCATCTGACTCATGTTTGGGATTGGTGGTGGTTAGCTTTTCTCTAATCTCTTCTCTCTAACTTCTACCTCTAAAAATCTAGTTGGTATAGTTTGAAAGTGAATTCAGGTCACAAAGTGTCCTCTTATGCTAAGTGGAAAAATGTATCATCTGTACTTAAGCCTCAGTAAAAAGCAAAACTGAACATTGTGTACTTTATGGCACTGAACATTTTTCTGTAAGATTTGTCTCTTTCCCTATGTATGAACTGTTATGACGAAAAAATGTACAACTATTGCATGTGAATATTCAGAACTATTTGTTACTGCTATTTTATATAGCACCATCATTTTAAATAGCATTGTACATTTACATCCGTCCCTGCCCTTGAGGAACTTACAATCTAAAGTCCCTTATCTCACATATTAGAGCCAATTTAGACAAAAGCCAATCAAAATACTTTTTTGGTCTAACTGGTCTTCTTCTTGTCTTGTCTTCTGGATCACAGGAGTGCACACCTGTGACCCAGAATCAGCAGACAGTGGGATAGAGCCACATTAGGCTCTGGAAGGATCCTGACCATGTTGTCAAGATTCACCCAGCTGCCTGATTGACAGCTTACCCAGGCTCTCAGCTGAGATCCTGAGCCAGCTGCCCTCAATCCCCTCTCCAGCCCGGTGCTCCTCTGAGCACTGGGGGAGGCAGACAGCAGTGATTTTCTGTTCCGGGAACTGAGCAATCAGTGGTCATGTGATCATTCAGTTCTCAGTCTTAGTGCCGGTGTGGGACAGCTGCAATATCCCACTGATGAGGTGAGTAGACATGTTTGTTTTTTTACTTCTCCTTTAAAGTGGTATTATAGTATCGTTTTTAAAAATAAAAAGTAACAAATATGTCTATATTTATTTGCTCTATGCAGTGGTTTTACACAGAGCCAGCCCGATCCCTCTCTTTTCAGGTTCTCCACCTGGCTCCTCCTCTCAAGCCAAGCCCCCGGAGCAAGCGGCTGTATATGCAGCCATAAGACACATAGAACCGTGACTCGACCCCCCCCGGCTCCCTCCTGATTGGCTCACTGGCTGTGATTGACAGCAGCAGTCAATAGCTTCCCACTGCAGTCTCAGCCATCGACGATGGAGAGCCCCCGCAGAGCAGAGGCTCTTGTGAACATCATGGGATCGAAGGGGACTCAGGTAGGGATTGGTGGGGGCTGGGGGGCTGAAGGTTTTTTTACTTCCATGCACAGAATGTATGAAGGTAGAAAAAAACCTTAGCCATTAATATCACTTTAACATACCAGCATGTATTTTGGAAGAAAAACTACATAAGCACAGGGGGAACATGCAATCATCATGCAGGTAGCGTCCCGACCTGAATTCGAACCAAAGACCACAGTGCTGCAAGGCAGACGCACCATCCACTGAGCTACTGTGCTGCTCCATTAAAAGTACAAAGGATTGTGTGGATTTGGGGTGTGGTTTGAGTCATTTGCAGTATGATGGTCCACTATAAATGAACAAAGAGCAATATTTCTGAAGCCAGATGGTTTGCTACCCAATCAGATCCTTGCCTATGGACAGGCTGTTCAAATGCTTACCTATGGACAATCATTTTAAAGTGCGTTTAAAGGCAGGTGGTCTATTCATGCAGGTAAAAAACCTTCTGAGTGCTACCTCCTCTCAACCCCTCCCCCCCCCCCCCATACTCACCTAAGCCCGATCCCAATCCAGCAATGTGCTCGAGAACCATGATCTGCGACTCTTATGGACACAAAGAGGCAACTTGGTAGCAAGCATGGACAAGTGCCCCCAGAGCAAGCAGTTTGCAATGGGGATACTCTGTGGGGGGAGGGGCTCTGGGTTGCTCTGTGCAAAACCATTGAGACAGGGATGACTGGGTTGCTCCCCTGTGCAAAACCATTGCACAGAACAGGTAAGTTATGCCAACATGTTTTTTTATTTAAAAAAAATTGGTACAAACCTCCTTGTTGTAAAGAATGACCTTCTTTAGCAGCCAATTCCCCATTTATTGGTTTAATCTTGTTGTATCCTGCCAATTCCCCATTTATTGGTACAAACCTTCTTGTTGTCCAACATCCCGCACAGCAAGAGAAAGCAGGTATACAGAATATCGGGTCCCAGGTGAAGTGAGGCCAGGATGTGACGTTACCTCTGTGATCTGCAATTGCACCTTCAGAGTAAAGCCGCTTCATTATAAAATAATTTGTTCTATGAATGTTTATCATTAAACTTTTCAGATGAGAACTATGTTGTGTCACTGCAATATCTTCTTCAGAGAATGCCAGTTGCTTGGCTTTTATGTTTTTGCTTTGATTTTAGTATTTTCTGAGTCACCGACTCAGAAAGAGATCCACGAAGGTAAATATGACATACTGCATTTTAACCACTTGCCCTCCTGAGGATCTCCTCCCCTCCTGACCAGGCCATTTTTTGCATTACAGCGCTGCATTACTTTAACCGACAATTGCACGGTCATGCAATACTGCACCCAAATGAAAGTTACGTCCTTTTGTTCCTACGAATTGAGCTTTCTTTCAGTGGCATTTGATCGCCTCTGCGTGTTTTATTTTTTGCTCTATAAAAAAAACCCGACAATTTTGAGAAAAAAAATATTTTTGACTTTTTGCTATTAAACATGTCCAGTAAAAAAAATTAAAAAAAAACAAAATTTCATCATAAATGCAGGCCAAAATGTATTCTGTGACATGTATTTGCTGAAAAAAATCCCAATACATGTAAACTAATTGGTTTACATGAAAGTTATGAAAAGCATTGGCAAATGGCGGTATATATACTGGAATTTTTTTTTTTTTTTTTTTCATTTTTACTAGTAATGGTGGCAATCAGTGACTTATAGCAGGACTGCAGTGGACATTCTGACACTGGGGGGGAACTGAATTGGTGTCACTGACATCCACAGTGACACCAATACAGTAATCAGTGCTAAAAAAAAGCACTGACATTGTACTAATGGCACTGGGCAGGAAGGGGGACATGAGGGACAATCAAAGGGTTAACTGTGTGCTGAGAGTGTTTTACTAGGGGGCGGTGTGTGTGTGTTTCACTGTAATTACACTGCTCTGCATGGCTGTGCTGTGCACAGCCATCCAGAGCAGTGTGCCCAAGCTGACTGTTAGTAAACAAAACAGTTCTCCTCCCCGTCGGTGATCATCGTAAATCACCAGGCGCCGGCGAGTAATTACTGTGTGATTGACAGCCGTGGCCGCAAATGGTGGCGCGGGTAGGGTGCATGCACGGCTCACACGTGCCCCCCCCTACTCGGAAATGCAAAATCATGTATACCGCATATATGTGATTTTGTGCACCCGCGCTGCCCTGTAGCAATAGTTAATGCTACTCCTATTGTTTAGCCAGTAACTAGAGCTTTTAGTGCCTTTTGAGATATTTTCTACTTTCTCCTATTTTACTGTACTTCTTGATGTAAAAAGCCTGCTGTTTATAGAGCTCAATACCTCAAGTTAAAATTTACACATGCAAGTAGATGAGCCCTCTGAATGACTCTACTTGAGGTTTCAAGCAGGCAAAGCATCTCTGTGGCAGGCAGCTTGTCCAATGTTATCACTTTAGCTAACCCATAGGACTCAGGGAATCCTTAGTTATGTATTAAAGCATAAGTATAGCCAAAGTTTTTTTGGCGATATTTCTCCTATGGATCACAGAAGTGTAATTCGTTCTGCACTCCTGTGACTCATTTTCAGCCATCAGCCTAAAGCCAGCTGTCAGCTGACGTCACAGAGCTGGTCCATACTCTAAAAAGATCTCAACCATATGGTGACTATGCATCTACCATACCTGGTTGACGCCCCTGGAAACTGGAAATCACTGAAGTAGACTAGTCCAGTGATCTCCACTTGCTTCCGGGTCCAGTACTGAGCGGCTGCCCTGCTGCATTCTGAACACAGGAGGTCAGCTGCTCAGCATGAGCGCCATTCAGAGAATGCTTTGCAACTTCTGAATGAATGCAAAGTGTTCTCTGATTAGACGAGGTGGAGAGCTTGACGGCACCACCCTGCCTCTCCACCTCCGATCACAGAAAGCATTACATTCATTCAGAAAATGTAAAGCACTTTTTGAATGGAACCCACAAGGACCGAGTAACCTTCTGTGCTCAAAATGCAGCAGGGCAGCTATTCAGCATGGTACCCAGCAAGCGGAGCAAGTGGAGGTCGCTGGACTAGCTAAGTGATTTTCAACTTCCAGGGGCATTGACCAGGTATGCTATATACTGTACATAGCTACATTAGTCCAAGCTGATTTTATATATATGTACACACATATAGTAAAAAGACAAATATAAAACATCAATTAAAACATATCAGCTTGTAATTGAAATTTGAGATAAAATTGACGAAAAATCATTATCATTTCCTTTAGAACCTATTATAATACAATTTTATTATCTGATATTCTGATATTGTGGTTGAAGGCAGGTGCAGTTTGCTGTCTCCACTGTAAATGGCTCTCATCCCAAGCATTACCACAGCCTGGACAGGATGTCAGGAGAAACCTAGTTTCTCTATGTTTTCCTGGTCCCGAAGGCAGCGTTCCAGTTGGCTGTGCTGCATTCAGGTGACCCTTGGTAGCCATCTTGGGTCAGCAGAGACTTATAATAAGTAATAAAAAGAAAGAAAACAAACAGAGGGCGCACCAGCCTAGTGCATTACCTTAACCTCCTCGGCGGTGTGATTATTTCCGATTTTTTGT